GCGAAGGGGCTGTGGCAGTCAGTGGAGGGGGGGCACGGTGGGCAAAGGGGCTGTGGCTGTCAATGAGAGCGGGGGGGCATGGTGGGCGAAGGGGCTGTGGCAGTCAGTGGAGGGGGGGCACGGTGGGCGAAGGGGCTGTGGCAGTCAGTGGAGGGGGACTGGGCGAAGGGGCTGTGGCAGTCAGTGAGAGCGGGTGGGGGGAGTGTAATGGAACTCCTGGATGTCGGGTTGAGCTCGCAAACTCAGAACGGCATGCCATGGAGGTGCCTGGTCTCTGCCCCCGCCCCATGTCCAGCACTAGGCCTTGCAGCGCAGGGGACCTGGGCCTCGGAGCCAGGACAGCCTGCAGGGAAAGGCGCCAGGCCAGCTCTAGCCTGACGTCTAGGGAAGCGTAGGTGAAGCGTGCTGGGGTGCAGGGACGCAGTGGGAAGGTGAATGCCCTGGACACGCTCTGTCCTTTGGTTCCTCCACAGGGCGCTGTGTCCCCCCGCAGGAGAGCGCCGATCCCTGCCGCTCCGTCTCCTCGGACAAGAAGCTGATGCGCGACATGCTGTTTGCCAAAAGCCACGTGGAGCCGGAGCGGGACCTGCTCGTCCCTGAGGCGTCAGCCTCTGCCCAGCGCCCCCGAGCGGCTGGGGACCAGCCGAGCCAGGCAGAGCTGCAAGGCAGTCAGGACCTGGAGAACGCCAGGCCCCATGGCAAGGCCCCTGACGGGCAGGTCTCTGGCGCCCGGACCCGGCTCCCGCGCACCCAGTCCAGTGTCGAGGCAGAAGCCAACGCTCAGAACGTGGAGCGGGCCCTCCTGACCCCATTTAAAAAGGACTTTGAGTTCATGTGGGATCGTCCGGAGGCCGGCCCCATGCTGCTGAAGATCAAAGACCTGGACTTCTCAGACCTGGGTGAAGAGGAAGATTTTGATGCCTTAGAGCAAGGGGCAGTAGGAAATGACTCTTTCCATGTGCCTCCTCCACCACCTCCTGGCACTGGGGCACTGACTGCAGGAGGCCTCCTGGCTCCCCCACCACCACCACCCCCTCCTCCTAGCTGTCCCCCACCCCCCGGCTGTCCTCCGCCCCCACCACCCCCTGTTCCTGGCTGCCCACCCCCTCCTGCGTTGCTGGGCCCCCCTGCGCCAGATGGCCGTTCCCCTGCCAAGAAGAAGAAGACGGTGAAGCTCTTCTGGAAGGAGCTGAAACACCCCAGTTCCCGTGCTGGGGCTGGCCGGTTTGGCCGGGGCACCGTGTGGGCGTCCCTGGAGAGAGTGGAGATTGACGCGGACAAGCTGGAGCATCTCTTTGAGTCCAGAGCGAAGGAAGTGCTGAGTTCCAAGGTATGCCGCAGGTCGGGGGCCAGCGGGCCAGTCCTGACAGCCTGCAGTGGGTGTTGGGGCACTGTGGGGTGTGGCCCGAGCGCTGGCTGCCGTGGCATGCAGGGCTCCCTGGGACTGGCAGGTGTCTCAGGCTCATAGAGGAATATTGCTGGTGCGTGGGAGAGGCCCAGTGTGGAGCAAAGGCCTGGATTAGCTAGGTTTTCCTTGTCCCTCCCTTTCTCGTAGCGTCAAGAGGAGGATGGTCCTGCTGGACTTCCCGGAGCCTGGGGGGGTCACAGTCCCGGGCCCACAGTCCGAGCGATGCTCAGACACTGCACCCTTGGAGTGGTTCCTTTGGTTTGGTGCGTCGAACGTCGTAGGAAAGCGCCCTCCTGGGTCATGGATCCCGTCCCTGCTGGCACACGCAGCCTGTGGACTAGTAGCCCTTTGCGGGGAAAGTGGAGTGAATTCAGTTTGTCAGTTCCACTGGAAGGTCTCACCAAACCCGCCTGTCTGTGACTGGTCCCCTGCTGGTAGCATCCCAGCTGCCTTCCCAGGGCCGTGCCGGTCTGCACTGCTAAGGCAGCCCAGGCTTGAGGGTGGGAGACGGGGTGGAGGGTAGGGCAAAATCCAGGTTTGCCACATGCAAAAAGATAAACCCAGGAGCAGACCGATTTCACGCTTTCTCCCAGGGTGTAACAGCCGCCCCAGCCGAGTGTGCGGTCCGGGGAGGGAGGATTGTGTGGCTTCTCAGAGGAGCGTAATATACCACGAGAGTGGAGAATGAAATTCAGCTCTGTTGGAAGTGAGCTAGTGGATCCAGGCTGCCCTGCACAGCCCGATCCTGGCTCTACAGGGCCCATTACAAGGGACGTTTCTGTAGCAGACGATCTGTCTCAACAGCTGGTTCCCAGTTTGGGGCGCATGCCGCTATTTCTTGGTAACTGACCCCAGAGAGAGGGTCCACTCTTCCTTGGGGCCAGTCGAGCCCGGGCGCGTTAGTGTCCCCTCACTGGAGGGAGAAGGGGCCCAGTCTCTCCAGGCGCAGCTCGTCTTGCACCTGGCATGGCCAGTGGCATCTCTGACAACCCGAGCCCAAGGAGGTGCTGGAGACGCTGGCTGTAGTGAAGGTGCAATAGCTCTGCTGTGACCCCTACCAGCGTGCCAGGCCGTGCTCTGAAATTGCAAGTTCTGTGGGGTAATCTCCCCACCCACAGGGGGTCAGGAAGGACCTTCCTTCTGGGGATAGCACTGCACCATGGGAGGGTGGTGAGGTGGAGCTGCCTTCACCGGATCCTCTGTGTTGGTGCTGATTTGAATAGCTCAGTGGCCTGCCGGGGAAATGTGGCTGTGTTTCAGGGGAGCCCGTGCGCTCCTAACCTGCCTTTTCGGCCCCTTTTTTTCCATTTCCCATTCCCCCCCCCCCCAAACGAAAGCTGCTGACGGGAAGAAGTGCACGGTGATCCTCGACCCCAAGAGGAGCAATGCCATTAACATCGGCCTGACGGTGCTGCCGCCCGCTCACATCATCAAGACGGCCATTCTCAACTTCGACGAGTTCGCCATTAACAAAGAAGGGATTGAGGTGAGGCTGCAGCGATTCCTCCCACGAGCCGTTGCTGGTAGTAAATATTTCCGAGTAAAGAGCAGATGAGCTCCAGCCCTGGAGGGTCACCCTGCCCAAAGCGCGTCTCAATCCGTACTGGGTTTCTCCTCTCTCTTGTCCCTGCCGTGCACAGGGAGGCTAAGGGACTGGTCCAAGGCTGTCTGTGGCAGAGCAGGGCATTGAACCATGTCCACTAAATCCTAGACTAGTGCCCGGACACTGGACTGGCTCCTGGAGAGGCCAGCCGTCCTCCCTAGCCTGCAGTGTTCTCCGACAGCACTCCAGCTCCAGGGCTGCACATGCCACGTGGGTTTTCATAGACCTGCACCGCCCAGGCCAGAGCATTTCACTGTGTGGTTCTGCCTCGACTCAGCCCCCTCTGGAGCACAGCTCTTAGAAAGAGAGGCCCAGGTTTGATGTAAAGGCTGCAAGGGACAGGGAATCTGCCCCAGCGCTAGGTCACCTGTTCCAAAGCTTCATTATCTTCACTGCTAAAAAGGTGCACCCGATTCCGGTTTGAATTCTGTTGGCCAGCTTCCAACCACTGGAAGTTTTTATCTGCTCGGCTGAAGAGCCCTCGGGTGTCAAAGTCTTCTCCCCATTGGCCCAGGAAGCCGCCCATCCAGTATTCTGCTAGAGGAGCCTTAAATACCTTAAATAATTATCCTGTCATTCCTTTGGGACGTGGGCAGGGTGACTCCCAGGCCCAGTCCCCAGCTCGGCTTCCCCGTAGTGCATTTCCGACACGGGAAGGGAGTACTGGGGAGAAGCAGCTGCTGTTAGTAGCGTGGGAGCTGGCGCATTGTCTTCCCCAGCCTGTGAATGTTGCTGTGTTGGAGAGTGAGATTCCGGCACAGGCCCTGCGTTGTTCTTTCCTGACATCCCTGTGTGACAGTCGCTGCATCTAGATGCTGGGTGGGCAGTCCCCGCACATAGCTGGGTATTTGTGGGTTCCTTGCAAACAGCATCTACCCCAGGCTGGCTGACCAGTCTCTCCCGGCCCTTCTCCAGCTCCAGAGTTCATCTGATCTCATTGCATTTTGGTTTTGCCCTGGGCTTGGCCCGTGGATGCCTGTGGTTTGGGGAGGATGAGTGGTTCCCCCACCCGCTCTGTCCTTTGCTGCCATGTGGCTTAGCTTTGCAGGAGGGGTGCTTGACTGATTGCTCCTGGGTCCCCACTAACAACGAACAGTCCCTTGAAGGAGAGCCCCGCGTGCAAGCCCTTGTGAAGGCAGGCTGGAGAGTGCTGTAAGATTGCATCCCCGTCCCCATCCCCTTTGCTCACAGCACAGCTCACTCCCGGCTTCTCTGGTCCTTGTGTTCTCTTCTAGCCAGAGCGAGGAGAAAAGCACTCGTGCACCCCCAGGATATCGGCACTCCGGAGAGTTACTCTGCTGAGGCCAAGAGCGCGCAGGCCTGAAGGCTGTTTGGTTGCCCCGTGCCCTGTCGATGCTAGTCCCGGGTTGGGGTGGGGGAGGTGTCAGTACTCGCCCAGGTGGGCATAGCCAGTCCAATGAACCATGATGTGTGACCCTTCAAGGCTACCACTGAGGCCAGCTTGACACAGTACGGCCGGTACTACTCTGTTTGGGCACTAGACCTGACCTGCTGCCTCAGACGTGTGGCTCCTTGTGTCTTACAGAAAATCCTGACCATGGTTCCCACCGACGAAGAGAAGCAGAAGATCCAGGAGGCGCAGCTCGCCAATCCCGACATCCCCCTGGGCTCAGCCGAGCAGTTCCTGCTCACCCTCTCCTCCATTAGCGAGCTCACGGCTCGCCTCCAGCTGTGGGCGTTCAAGCTGGACTATGAGAGCATGGAGCAGGTAATGGCGCAAACCCAGCCCACTGGCCGTTTCCCCAGCAAACCAGACCACGAACATCCCTGACCTTTGGGTTTGGTAGTGCAGATTCCCCTGGGCATTCCCCTGGATCTCTGCGCCCCCTGCCGTGCCTGGGGACCCTGTGGCAAGTCAGTCCCTGCCTGCTGTTTGCTTTGGATAGGGGCATGGTACAGCCGCGCTCAGCAGCTGTGGGCCAAGGGCCCGGGCCCGCTCTGCAGGGGCCGGCAGCCCAGCCTCCCAGGTGCAGGAATTTCCCTGGCTCGGGTGAGTTCCGCGGCCCTCATGCTGAATCCGAGGTCAATGAGCCCACGCGGCGCTGCCCCCTGTCCCAGGGCGGAGCGGGACCCAGGCTGGCTGTGGCAAGGTCCCTGGCTCCCCGGCGGAGCGGTGAGTGCATGCGGGGGCTGGAGCTGGGCGTCGCTGATGTACCAGTCACAGCAGCTGCACCTTTCCCTGTTCAGGAGATCGCGGAGCCTCTGTTTGACCTGAAATTGGGGATGGAACAGCTGGCCAAAAACCAGACCTTCAGGTGTATCCTGGCTACTCTGTTGGCCATGGGGAACGTCCTCAACGGCTCCCAGGTGAGGGGTAGAGGGAGGGACCTGGGGTCTCCTGCAGCTGCCAGCGCAGAGCTCCTGGGGGACGAGGTGGCTGCCAGCTGGGGCTTAGAAAGGGATGCAGAGTCCCCGGGGGGAACGGGGCCGGGCCGCCGTCGAAGCTGAGCGCCCAGACCTGCAGATGTGCATTAGAGAGCAGGCAATGCATGCAACAAGGAACTCAGCACCTGGGGCTAAGGTGCCAAGCTAGGTGGGAAATGCTGGGGGGGAGGGGGACTGGCTGCTGAGGGGGCCAGTGCCTAGTAGCAGGGGGACCTGTAGGGTCGCGCCAGGTGGGCTGACAGGGCTTAGTGCTGGAGGCTGGTCTGTTGTGTTGCTGCAGAACACACCGAGATCTTGTCAAGTGAAAATCCATGCAGGGAAGTGTAAGGGAGAGCAGAGCGGAGGATGGAGTCCGCTCAGTCGGACTGGAAGAAACTACTAAGGGGAATGGCTATCTGTGGAATTATGGTGTTAGGGCCCGCCTGGGATTGCGCCAGGTGCTGTACAAACACATTGTGAGAGGCAACCCTGCCCCCAAGAACTCATGGGCTAAACAGACAAGACGTGGGAGGGGAAATTGAGGCAGAGAGGTGACGTCCACGCAGCAGATTGGCGGCTGTGCTCCCGGGTCAGCACTCTGCCCACTGCACTACGCACTGGTGTCCAGGGCAAACAAAGTGGGAGTCGACGGTGTGCAAGGCGGCAGTGCCAAGCGCCAGAGCTATCTAGAGCAGCCCCAGTGAGACGCTGGGCCATAGCTGAGCTGAGCGGAAGGGGGTACAGAGAATGTCTGGAAGGCTGGGGGGAGGGGCTAATCGGATCAAATAGCTTCAGCCTCCAGAGGAGCAGATGGAGTGGAAACGGTGCTGGTGCATACCCCTGCCAGGGAGGGCCACGGGCCTGGGATTGCAGCTGTGAAATTCAGCCAGATCACGTGGGAGCCTGGCTGGAGAGGCACGGGGCAGTTGACTCCGGGAAGCGGGGAGGGGTGTCTGGCTGAGCCTGCGTTTGGGTTTCAGAGCCGGGGCTTCGAGCTCAGTTACCTGGAGAAGGTCTCGGAGGTGAAGGACACCGTGCACCGGCAGTCTCTGCTGCACCACCTGTGCCACGCGGTGGTGGAGAGGTTCCCCCAAACCAGCGACCTCTACTCGGAGATCGCCGCCATCACCCGCTCAGCCAAGGTAAGACGCGTGTCGGCACCGGCAGATATTCCAG